CAGCGCTTGGTGCGGAGTCAGCATTTAATAAACACTTGTTGAACCGTATCACAGAAGTCATTACCAGCCAGCTACCTTGTGCTTTAGATGAATTCCAAACCTCCATATTAAATTATAAAATCCTTAAGGACAATCACCCTGATGGATTTATCTTTGGGTCCCCCAGCATCTGGGAGAGCACCCAGAACGTGGTAGATGGTTAGTAAGTAGTGGGGGAATCTGTGGTCTACGGCATAACCTGCTTATGTGCAGTATTGTCATATGGGTCTTTGGAGAGCATGATTTGTGTTTGTGTGTGTATGTGCATGTGCACACATACGTGCACGCACTCTTGTCTGCACCGATAATGAAGCAACATGGAGTCAAATTTGACTAAAAACTCCAACAAGTTTCTTTTGTGGATCAGTTTCAGCCCCTTTTGTCGGCCAGTTTGACTAAGTGCTATATTTACAGTTTGTGTGCAAATAAGTTCAGGTGATAAAGTTATTCATGGACTAAACTTAGGCAGAAGTAAGTCTGAGATTGGTTACCACCACTGAAACTTTGGGGGTTGTATCGGTGAGCTTCTGCTGCATGCAAACAATTCCAAAACTTACTTGCTTACAAAAAAATTATTTCCCATTGTTCTGTGTGTCATCCAGGCAGTTCTTCCAGTCTGACTCAGCTCAGCTTGAGCTGGATACTTTAAGATGACCACACTCACATGTCTAACAATTGGCAGACTGGTTGGTCTAGAGGAGACCTCACTCACATATCTGCTGTCAGCTGGGGAGGCAACCTCATGTTCCTCATCATCCCGGAGGACAGCCTGGACTCATTCACAGAATGATGGAAGAGTTTCCTGTAGTGAGAGAGGGTAAGCCCCAATGCACAAGAGCTTTTATTCTCTACGTATGTCATATTTTCTAATGTCCCATTGGCCGAAACAAGTCATGTGGCCAAGTACAGATTCAAGGAGGGGAGAAATAAACTCTTCTTCTTGATGGGGGAATTGAAAAAGCACATTTCAAAGGGGATACGTTCAAGGGTGCAATGAATTATTGTGGCCATTTTTGCAATTTTGTGGTGTTTTCCTCAGTCAAGTCACAAGAATAAAAACTAGAAGGATCCCAGGGATGTGAGATTACTGTACTTGTTCAAGAAACAGTGGGTCAAAAAGCAGAATCTGGGAGCATTTCAAGGGTGACAGTAATTGATCTAGGCTGATCAAGATGGCAATCTCCAAAACCGCCCCAACTTTGTAACTGAGTCTATGGGTGAAACAAGGTCTTATTCAACTCTTTACTTTCCTCTCTAAAACTGGTCCTCACTCAATAATTCTCCAACCCAGTAAACGGCAATACTATCATCCAGCTGGTTCAAGGCAAAAACTGAGAATCATCCTGTATTCCTCTCTTTCCCTCCTCCCCCCATCCTAACCATTAGCAAGGATTATTGGTTTTATCCATCAAGAACTTATTTCTAACTTCCACCCGCTCATTTCCATCTTCACTGTCATCACCGTCATCTGGTTCCCCTTCATCTTTCACTTGGACTTGTACTGTAGTCTCCTAATTGGTCTCCTTGCTTCCTCATATGCTCCAGCTACAATTAAGTATCTGAACAATAACATTGTGATCCTTTTAAAAAAAAAAGTAAATCAGAAGATGGAACAGCTCTGCCTAAAACCTTCAATGGCCTCCCACTGTGTTTAGAATAAAATCTAAAACTCTTCATTGTGACCTAGATGGCTCTTCATAGTCTAGACCCTGCTTGCCTCAACCTCAGTTCATACCACCTCTTCTTTATTAACTATATTTTGGCCACACTGATCTCATTTTTCTTTTATAAACACACAAAATACACATATCTCAGGCTGAATGTAAACTGCTCATAGGCATCTTCCCTGACTTCCTTATCTTAAATAGTCCCCGACCCTCTGCCATTCCCTGGATTACTCTCATTCATTAATCCATTTTTTTCTTGTCTCTTCTTCTTCTTCTTTTTTTTAAATTTTGGTATGCAAGCTTTTTTAATGTTATATTTATTGGGGCATAATTTGTACAGAGTAAAATTCACTCTTTCTAGTGTCCAGTTATGTGAGTTTCATCAAACACATACAGATTTGTAAACACTCTAACAATTAAGATTATGACATTCTAGAAAAGGCAGAATTATGGGGGTATAAAACAGATCAGCAGTTTTCAGGGGCTGGAGTGAGGTAGGAGGCGACTATGAAGGGCCCCAAGGCATCCACCTCTTTTCTTCACAGTTTTTATTATAATATGTAATAATCTTATTTATTTGTTTACTTATTAATTATTGCCTTCTTCAGAAGGTACATTCCAAGAAGGCAGGAACCTCATATGTCTTGTTCACTTCTGTGTCTCCAGAAACTAACACAGTGCCTGTCGCTAGCTGGTGCTCAGTCATCCTTTTTTGAATGACTGAATGGACACATAAACCCTCCCACCTCAGCTCTCTCTCTCCATCCTCATCTTTAATCCATGACCAGCTCCTGTGGATGTTCCCCCTTAAATATCTCTAGTTATCTCCTTTCCTCTACCTTCACTGACATGTTCCTGCCCTTATTGCTTTTCACTTCGGTGATTAATAACCTTAAAAGTGGTTTTCCTGTCCGCAATCTTGCCCCCTCAATCACTGTCTTTAACTGCTGTGAGGTACAAATAAATTACATCACTCCCTTGCTTTAAAAAAAAAAGTAGTGGTTCCCCATTGCCTAGCAACCAAACCAAACTAGCTTAGCTCTTCTCTGCTCCCAGGTGCCTAACACTAACCACCATCCCTCTTGCTGTTGACAGTGCTCTGCTCCTATCCAGATATGACTCCCAGGGACAAAATGCTGCTGCTCATCTGTCCTACCTACAACCAAGAGAGCCCCTCATCTCTGGAGAGTCCCTGCTGTCTTCGTATCCCCAACTCATCAGTGTGCCCTCAATCTCAGCATGCCTACAGGCTTCAGGTCCCCAAATTTAAGACAAATACCAATGTGGCAAGGAACTGAGGTCTGTCAGAGCAATCCATGTAATCATAAACCATGACGTTTCTCAACCTTGTACCCATACTTTCAACTCTCAAGATCCTGGTATACCGAATCTTGAAGCCACACATTTTCCAGATACTGATAGTGGCAGTTATTTTCTCTATCCTTCTGTTGCATTTTGAAAAGAATTAAAAGGTCGGCCTTTACTTTTACTGAATTATATCAGTCAGCTGGAACTAAGCCTACATGAATCTTTCCATAAAACTAACAAAAGTGGACTTGGTCAAAATTTTTAATAATAATTCTTAATACATGCCATCAAAGCTCTAAAATATGAAATCCGAATTATTTCATTGGTTCTTTTTGGGGAATCACTAGTGCTTATTAAAGGAAGTTGGCTAAATAAATTGAGGCATAGCCATAAAATACATTCCTCTGAAGCTGTAAGCAAAATGAATGAGGAAGCCCTCAACACACTGCTGTGGACGGAGCTCCAAGTGACAGCACTAAGTGAAGACAGCAAAGTGTAGGACGCTGCTGTTCACCTGCACGCTTATACTTGTTTATATACACACTTTTATTTGCTTAGAGAAAGTGTGGGAGGATTCCCAAGAAATCACAAAACGTGGGTTCCTGTGGGGGGAAGGGAACGAGGTAGACTGAGGCAGAGGCGGGAAGAAGACTTCCCACGATACACCTCTTTACATTTTTGGGTTTTGAACCATGTGAAGTGTTACCCACCCCCCCTCCATTTCCTAATTTTTGTAAAATAAGAAGAGTGTGAGTGGGTACCAAATGCGATTCTCAAAAGATCTCTTAAAATTACATTACTCTGGGACTTTGAAACTCATAAAATCAACAAAACCTTTCAACAGCCCTGACATTTACACATATGCAACAAACTTTATTAATATATAAGTACAAGTAAATAAGTAAATAAATTCTAAAATAATACATCATCCAAACAGAAGGTAGCAGTTATCTGCTTTATCAATTGTCCGAAAACTTACCTTCTCTTAGGTGGGAGATTGGCCATGTAAATTCATTTACCCTTTCAGGTCAGTGAAATGGCCCAAGGTTGTCATAATATATGTCTGTGGTGCCAACATTGCATAGAACATAACTGATGCAACCACACATCATTTCAGCTTGACACAAAATGATACTTTTTGCTTGTCTCACGTCAATTTATTTTGGAAAATGATTCCTCCCATTCTCCCTTCCCGCCATACTTCCCCCAACCCCCACCCCCACACACACAAATACTCTGTGTAATTTAAATGCAGCTGTCAGGATTAAATTCAGGGGTAGCAAAAATTGACTGGTGTTCCCTTTTCCCCCAGACACTCTGATTGTTCCAGGAAAGAACGTGAAACTCAAGTTTGGCCAATCAGAGTCATCGGCTAGGAGGTGGGGACTGTTATAGAGGCAGAGAAAAAGAGCGTTTCTTTACTTTTGAAATTACAAGCTTTAAGAATCATATAACCCTGTAGCTGTCCGGGCCCATGATTGCTATCCATTCTGAAAATAAACCCAAAATGAAAATTAAGTCAACATGGAGATTTAAAAAAAGAAAGCCATGATAATATCAGTGAACACTGGATCCAGCCATGCTTTGAGTCAGTCCATCCTTTAAACTTAGCAACTTCTTAAGCCAATGAATTCTCTCTTTTGTTGCTACTTTGAAACACAATTCAAGTGTTCTTTCTTTATTTTTTTTCTTTTCTTTTGGTGAGGAAGATTGGCCCTGAGCTAATATCAGTTGCCAATCTTCCTCTTTTTGCTTGAGGAAGATTGTCCTTGAGCTAACATCTGTGCCAATCTTCCTCCATTTTGTATGTGGGACCCGCCATAGCATGGCTTGATGAGAGGTGTACAAGTCCACCCCTGGGATCTGAACCCAAAAACCCTGGGCCGCGGAAGTAGAGCACATGGACTTAACCACTAAACCACTGGGCTGGCCCCTCAAGTGTTCTTTAGAAACTCTAGTCTTTCCTGAGATTATTTCTTAATTTACCTGGAAAATGCAAAAAACGTAGTTGGCTAAGTTTAAGAGATTCAGAGAAGTTCTTCATGTGAGCAGTGAACCTGGAGCAGGGCAAGACAGTTCTTTCATGATGAGGGCTGGGCTATAAGACAGAGGAGAAAATACACAAAATAAAATTAGGTCTATGGCTCCAAAAATAATCCATGCCACCTGCCATTCTTACTTCCCTAAACGAGTGACACTTTAAAAGTTTTTTTGCTTGCGTATTCTTTAAATGAAATAATCCTGAAAACAACTACAATTGACTCCAGTTACTTATACATGCACATCCTTCCCATATATTTCATTAAGGTGGCTAATTAACTTATTTATCTGTTCATTCAGCAAATGTTTACTGAGTTACACTACATGCCCGACATTGTTCTGGAAACTGGGGATATACTACATCAAGTCTCCGTCCTCGTGAAATTGATATTCTAGTGGAGGTGACATAAAAATAAATAAATACATCTGTAATATATCAGATGGTGACTTTTCTATTGTTAAGAAGAAAAACAAGACAAGGTAAGGGGAATGGAAAAATGAGGAGGCTAGTGTACTAATTTATATACAGACATAAGAGGTGCCTTCCTGGACAGGGGACATCAAAGCAAACACTCACAGCAGAGAGGACGTAGCCATGTGATTTTTTGTGTCATTTCAAGCACAGCCAGTGTGGCAGAGGGTGGAGACACAAGGAATAGAGACGGGGATCAGAAGATTGGGGAGAGGGAGCTCTCAATTCGGGCTTTGTCCCCTTGAAATAACCAAACTCAAAAAGAAAGAAGAGAAAGAGATTCAAAGATATTGGATAATTAATGTGAATAAGGTCATAAAGATGGACAATCTGATTAAATTTTAATTAAAAACAATTCAGCAAACAAGTGACCAGTTCCAACTGTTCATTAGTGTTTGTGTGTAACGTTGATTGCTTGGACATGATTGGATATTATTGTTTAGATGCTGGATATTATTGCATCTGTAGTATGGTTTGGATATTACGTGTTTAGGGTGGTGGTAACCTGCTGGGTCTATAAGAGAGCAAACCACTCCTGCACAAGGAATAGGATCCTCCCTAGAGGATGAGGTTTTCATTCTCTCCTTCTCTCTCAGTCATATCATTCACCCAGCCCCACCCGTTCCCTGAGGCAAATACTTATATCTCAAAGCAGAAACTTTAAACTGAGTAGGAGGGTCTTAGGAGGGAACAGAGTATGAACTCTCCCTTTGCCATGAATACAGACCAAGGAGGCAGGACGGAACTGCAGAGATGAGGAGTGAGAGGACACATATCTGTTAACAGAAGGAAGAGATCTGGGAACTAAGTGACCCAGGCGAGCTGCACCAGTGACAGGTTGTGGGAGATCAAGTGAGGAAGGGTTAGAACCTTGTACTAGGGAAGTCTTTTCTGCTGCCGGCATTTTCTTTATTTCTATATTTGCTTTGTCTTAAGCGAAGTCTTTTTGGAATTCATTTCAGATGAGCTAAGAGAAATGAAATGGAGTGGCTTTCTACAATTTTAAAGGGAGAGGGGTACCTCGGAAGCAGTAGTGACAGTAAGAATGAGAGGCCTTGAGAGAAAGTGAAATGAGGGGAAAACTATTGTGTGGTGGGGCTGGTGCCACTGTCCACCTGGAGAGGATGTCTCCATGGCCAAACCTTGGGGTAATGGTTCAGAGTAGAGGCTGCCACATCATGAAGGCCCATGTCGAAATCTCATCTCTACTCCTTTGTAGGGGCTGGAACAACTTACCCTCCTTATTCCTCAGTTTCCACCTTCGCAAAATGGGGCTGATGCTGCCTCACAACAACCACTATCCCCATTTTACTGATGGAAATTAGCTACCAAGGCTGTGTAAGTAGCCAGTATTGAAGGCAGGTCTCAAATCCACTCTTTCCTATTCCAAAGCCCATATTGCTTTCCCATCTTAGTGTGGGCCCAAGCAGCAATCCAGATATCCAAAACAGAACCCAGAAGGTCACTCCAGCCCCCTCCTACCCGCTTCATCCCCAGATCCACTCATAACCGAATCCGGTCAACCCCCCCACAATGTCCTCCAGACCCATTGCCTCCTCTACAGTTCTGCCTTCGCTTCTCCACCCGCTCCCTGCTGCAGTTCACCTCGGTGGAACTCTCTTTTCACATTCTCTTTCTAAAATTCAATATGACAAATATAATAATAAATATAGAACTCAGCTTTTTAATAGTGTTCAATGGCTTCCCATCATTTGGTTGATGGTTCTCAAAATCTATCATCCATAAAAATCAGCTGGCGAACATGTTGAAATGCAGATTTTGATTCAAAGAGTTGAGATGGGGCCCAGGAATGTGCATAGTTAACAAACATCATAGGTGACTGATACAAGTAATATGTAGATTCTTGCTACTCAAAGTGTGTCCATGGACCAGCATCATTAATATCACGCGAGAGCTTCTTAGACGTGGAGATTCTCTGGCCCAGCCCCAGACCTACTAAATCAGGATCTGAATTGTAACAAGGTACCCAGTTGGTTTGTACACACATTAAAGACATAGACCGCACTTTGATCTAACAAATAAAATATAAAATCTTTTTCATCGTATAGGAGGCTGGTCATGACCCATCAGCTATTTATCTCTTCCCCCATCTCATAGGACTCTCTCTGTGATCTACGTTTGACAAACCAGGGAAACTGAGGCACCAAAAGACTAAAGCAGAGACCCTCATCTTGTCCGTGTGTGTCCCCCTAGTGCCTATCACAGTCTGTACCACACAAAAATGCTGCTTTACTGGTACATGTTGAGTCAAACTGAACTGGATTAATGTATATTTTAAAACACATTTTAAAATTCCATATTACTTTCATATTGTATTTTCCATCATGGTATGATTTAACTGGAATGAGAAAAAGTGAATGGAGAAAAGACTGTCAATGTCACGAGCCACATGCATTTTACTCCTTAAAACACTGAACACGTCACCACTGGGCAGGGGAGGGGGGTACTTAGTCCTGTCTGTGAAGTCCTTGCTGTTCTCAGTTGATTTACTGCCTAAACTTAAACCCATGCTCTATGTATTAAAGCACAACCCCCACCTTTTTTTTTTTGTTTAAGAAGAGCAAACTTTCACCACAAAGATACAAGAACAGTAAATATTGATCTTCTTGACGGATGGTGCACCTCACGCCACAGGCCACTCAAGCATCTGCTCATTACCACCCAGCCCTCCCCTTTGTGGGGAACTAACGCCAAGTGGCCTCCTGTGCTATCGGCTGCAGATTGCAAATATTTAAAAGAAATAAATTTCTCTGAATGAAAAGCACCTTTCTTTGTTCTCCAACCCCCTCTCCTCCCAAGTCATGTTGATTTTGGGGCTGTGCATACTGCCAGCACCTGTACTTTTCAATTGCTTGCTTGCCAAGATCTCTGTGGTTTTCTTGCTTGGTTTTAGGAACCATTGTAAGTACAGTAGCCAATGAAGGTGTATTTTCCTTCTCTCTTGGCAATCTGTAGGGGAAGCATCAGCCTCAGGACACCAGCAGCAACTGTAATTAGAGGACAGAGGAAGAGTGGAACAGAAATTGGAGCTCCTCTATCCGGGGACTTGTCTCTATGTGATAATGAAAAATGGACCACCATGGCAAACCAATAAGAAAGGTTTGGATTTCTTCAACAGCCTTCTTATTTGGCAGAAAGTTTTTAAACCTGGTTTTGCGGAAATCCAGAACCATTCTTTAACTGAACATGAAGACCTGCAATAAGAAATAAGAATGGGATTTCAGCAAGCAAAAATTTGAATCATCATTGATAATGGCCACTGAGAATGTTACCCCAAGGGTCTAAATATAAATATTGAATAAAACTGTTATGTCTTCTACATGAAATTTTACCCCCCATTTGCTGGAGTGGCATTATGCCCTGTGCAATCTTAATCACTGCTTTTAATCTCTTCCCGCTGTGCTATGTGTCAATAGAGCATTGGAGTATAATAAACTGCAGCCAGTTATTGTGATCTGGTCAACATAGATGACACACTGGGTGTAGAGAGAAATGGTCTATGCTTAAATCTTTAGCCCTTTCTTTTGCTGAAGCTGACTTCTCATTCAAAACGAGTGCTACAGCCTCTATTACCACCACCACTGGGGACGGTATTTGTTATTTTCATTTGCTCCATTTATTCTACTTTCAGGAACAAGTATTTGGGGATCCAAATGACTCCAAACCTTGATACATATGGTTTCAGTGAGCAACTTCCCCCAAACTTCAGGGATAAAGCAAATGCCCAGATCTGAGCACATCAGCACATTACATTCTGTCGGCTACAAGGACTGAAGTTCAGTATCAATGGAATATAAGGAGATTTTGTTAAGACTTTTGGAATCAAGTTTTGACTGCGAGAGGTTGCAGAGTCTAGGGCTGCTGCAGCCATCTTACCATCATGAGGCAACTGCCTGTGGCTTTGAATTACTTTTCTGATAAGACATCTTGTGTTGGGTGAGGCATACTCTCCTGCCTATCCTGCCTGGTGCCCAGAGACCTGTATTTGCAATATGAGGGTTCAAAAAGCAGTCTGTGGTCATGGAACCATTTATTTCACTCTGGGTAAAACTGAGCAGTGTTGGTAAGGAGATGCTCATTTTGCTTTAGTTGGCATCATTCTCCAATCAGTTGGGCCAAAAAATTCTAGGTAATTTACTTATCTCCAACATAAAAGAGACGATACTTGCTATAAACCTTATAACTAAAATAAAGAGGCGTTTAGGTTTTGTCAATGTACATAGTGAGCCACGGAGTAAGGAGTTAAAGCCAGCCTCCCTATTTACACTGGATTAGGAAGACCTCCATGGAACGGCATTAACAAGTGTTTTGAATTACATGAAAATTATTCAGCCACCTTCAGTTTCCTGTAAGATCTCCACAAATCACAGGAAACATCAGAGGAAACAGGAAAATACTACTGGCTAAATTTAAAATTTAATTCAGATTTACACATAATGGATTTGTATGAAGAGTTAAATATTTTTAGAAAAATTTTTGTGCAAGAATCATCGACTCTAGATTACTAAAATTTATATTTCAAAATAATTTATCATAACATATCCCAATGTCATCATCATCTGGAA